AGCGCGCAGTGAGGGCTGGAGCCTCCGAGGAGTTTTTGGGCTTTAGGTTGGCGCTCCACCGCCACGCCTGGGACGTTCCAACTGCGTGAGCCCCTAGCCTGAGAATGAGTTGACTACGACCTCATGCTGCTATCCCTTTTGGCTCCCCGCACCGGTTCCGTTTTTTTCAAAGCGGACTGCCTGCGAGAGGCTTGTTCACCATCTCTCCAAAGTGGTCTCCCTCTTTCTTTTCCACCCGCTCCCAGTGCAGAAAGGCTCTTCCCGTCTAGCACCCGGCGACCGGGCCGGATTCACCTGCTTTTAAAGGAGAAAGGGGCTTCTGGGGACAAAGGAGAAGGAGGGTACAACCCTGCTCTTCTCCCTCCCTGGGTTGGGGTGCAAAGTCCATTTTGGAGGACTTTGGAACAATCATGGGGTTCTTCCGTTCCGTAGAGATCAACCTAACTTTCTTTAGGCTCCAACATGCATTTCCTTCTGAGAAAGGCAAGGGAGGGCCTCCCTGGTGGCACAGGCGGTTGAGTGAAGCGCTGTGAAGCTGTCCGCAGCCTCTGTAGTGCTGGTTCGATCCCCGCCGGTCTTGGAGATACCCACATGGCGCGGCAGACCTCTCCTGTCTCCCCCACTGCTCCCCTCAGCAGTGTGTTTCGGTCGGTCTGCCTGTTCTGTTCCCCATTCTGTCTCTGGTGAATCCTCTCACTCTCCTGCACATCTGGCCTGTACCCCCATTCTTTGTAAAAAATAAATAAATAAATAAATAACTCTTAAAAAAAAAAAAAAAGAAAGGCAAGGGAGAAGGAATCCATGGGTACCTCCAGTTCATCACTAGAAAGTGGCACCCCATGTGGCAACTCCCTAGAAGGTGTTGAGCAGACCCTTCCCCTCCTTGCAAGAGAGTGGATCCTGCTCCTGTGATGGGACACATCACATAGAGGAGTTGGAATATTTTATAGGCCTTGGTGAGCCTCTAAAGGCACAACCACATCTGCACTTAGAAAGATGCCCTTTGCAGCAGGGAGGAGGGAGGACAACAGAGTTATGGAAACCAAAAGAAACCCTGTTTGCCTCTTCTCCCAGGAGGGTGAAGCCTTCCCTCGTACTCAGCTGTTTGCCATAATAAAAGACCACAGACCAGGTGACTTAAGCAACAGTGTATTTTCTCACAGTTCTAGAGGCTAGAAGTCCCAGTGTAACCGGAAGATCAGAGTTTGGGCCACCTGTCACCACTAAATGCCAACGAAGAAGAGACAGAAATAGAGTGAGCTCTAAAGTGTGCTTTAATCAGGTAGCCATCAATCTGGAAGATTGGGGGGTGGCTAACACCCTATAGGGTAAGTAAAGTATCAGGCTTTTCTGTCCTCCCACCATTTGGATGGATGATGGATCCCTGTGGTCCTGAATGCATGCCTGAAGGGCACCTGAGGTGGGGTGTGGGCATGAATAGATGGGTACACCCGAGCTGAGAGACTGGGCTTATAAGGGCGGCATCACGGGGACACCAGGAGAGAAGAAAGAGAATAACCAGAGAGAGGAACAACTGAGAGAGCAGCCAGCAGAGAAGCAGAGGTCACGAGAGAACGCCGGAGAGCCCAGAAAGAGGGACGATTTGCCGGGGGCTGGGAGGCCCGCCAGCCCCCTGCCTGCCATGTACCTGGTAAACTCAATAAAAGCCTGAAAAAGCCACTGAGGGCTCTTGGGACTCTCCTTCGCCTGCCTGCTCCCATCATAGAGATGCTGCTCCGTGTCCCATCCTGCCGCTACACACCCTAAAGAAAGTGCCTTAACCTTTCATTTCCAGCTGCCTTTTAGTGAGTTGAACAAAGACAGTTCAGCAGTAAGCAGGCCTTCACTGCTGCCAGGAGATTGTGATGTCCGGCCCCGGAGCTCCTTACTACCCTCCTGGACACCTGGCCTCATGCTCGTCCCGCCGTGCTGAGGCTGGTCTGCAGCGAGCACTGGCCCCCTGCCCTCCTCCAGATGTGTCCTCGGGCTGGAAAATTCACTCAGGACAGACAGGCCATAAACAACACGTATGTGCAGATTCCCTACTATAGCAGCTTAGTGTCTCACCCGATCTCCTCCCCCTCCCTAGCCCCTGTTACCAGCTCAAGGTCTGTGAGGGTCGATGTCTATTGAGGTCTCTCTTCCTGGCTTCCAGAGGGTTTCCTTCTTGTATCCTCATGTGGGGCGTGGGTGGAAAGAGCAAGCTGTCTGGTGCCTCTTCTCATAAAGCTATGAGTCCTATCCCATCCCAGCTCACCTGTACGACCTCATTCAACCTTAATCATTCCCTCTCCAGCACCTCAGAGAGTCTCTTTCACATCCAGAGTGGCCCCCCAGAACTTTCTTTCCTTGCTCTTTCACTAATCAATAAATGCTGGAGGTTAGGATTCCAATATCTCCTGGAGGTTAGGATTTCAATGCATGAATTGGGGGACTGACACAATTCAGTCTATAGCACCCTCCTTCCTCGGGGCTCTATCTATACCTTGCACTTATCATTGTAACCTTACCTGTATCATGTTGTGGTTTTAATTACTAGTCAGTCAAGAAGAGTCCCAGGACACATATAGGACAGAACTCAAGAACCAGATTTTTCTGTTCCCATGGGCTTGTAAACAAGAGACGAAACACCTGATGACTCCAGGCCTCACACTTGTTGCCATAAATATCCTTGGCTCATTGTTTTTTAAAACCATTTCTAGGTGGTCTTTTCACAGCTTATTGAGTTTACTGCTATTAGAAGAAAAGGGAGTTACAGATTCAGAAGAGGATCCCAGAGCTTGAGACCAGACCAGTTCAGACTGGAGCTGTGGGCACACGGCCTCTGTGAAATGTTCACCTTGAAGATGCAGACCTCCTGCAGACCTCCAAGCTACAGCAGATTGGTGCTCCCTACTAGCAACAACAAATGGACGTTAGCCAGGTCCACTCTCCTTGCTGTCTCAGCCAATAAATTGAATTCCTTTGTTCTTATACTTTTTTTTATTATTATTATTTATTTATTTATTTGTTTGTTTGTTTGTTTGTACATGCACTGGGTACAGTCAGAAGCGCGGGAGGGTGAGAGAGCCTACCAGAGCCAGAGCGGGGAGCAGAGCAGGCAGAAGGACCTAAGTACACCGCTGAGGGGAGCAGCGGGCGGCAGGAGAGGTCTGCGCGCCATGTGGGACCCTCCTGTGGTGGCCGGGGAGCAGCCGGGGATCGAACTGGCGCTGCAGAGGCCGTGGCCAGCTTCACAACCCAGCGCTCAACCGCTGCGCCACCGGGAGGCCCTGTTCTTATACTTTTATCTGGCAGAGTGAGGGGTAACACAGGATCCCCAAACCTGCCTGCTCTAAATAGGTTCTGCATCTGCTGCATCAAGACAAAGGATACTCTAGTGTGTAAGACCTTTAATGAAAAGAACTTTTAGGCATCCCTGGTGAGGCAAGGGGTTGGGCACCGCACTGTGAAGCAATCCGCAGCCTTTGCAGCATGAGTTCGAACTCCGGCCGGCCAGGGAGAAAACACATGGTGGGGCAGACCTCTCCTGTCTTGCCCACTGCTCCCCTCAGCAGGGTGTTTCAGTCAGTCTGCCTGTTCTGTTCCCTACTCTGTCTCTGGTGAATCCTCTCACCCCACACCTCTGGCCTGTACCCTAGCTCTTGTGTGCATAAGTAGGTGGATCTTGGGGGAAAAAAAGAATAAATTATTATTAAAAAAAGAACGTTTAATACAATTAGTGTGCAATATAGACAATTTGTGCGCAGAGAAGAGAAAGAATATAGTTAAAATAGTTTCCATTTAAACATCCAGTTACCTATCCCTGCATGGGTGAATGTCCAGCCAAACAGGGTTGGCCCAAAGCAGGGTCACTGAGGTCTGAAAGTTTGCCATAAGTCTAAAACACCTTCTGGGGGGGAGCCATGAAAAAGGGCAGAAGGGACCAGGAAAGTCTGGAAGGAAAAGGGCAAAATCAAAATACAAGTCAAGATAAAGGCTGCCATTGTCAGTCCCCCATGGGTTCCTCACCCATGTCTCTTTTTTTTTTTTTTTTAAGATTTATTTTTATTTATTTATACAAGCACTGGGTACAGTCAGAAGCATGGGAGGGTGAGAGAATTCACCAGAGCCAGAGTGGGGAGCAGAGCAGGCAGAAGGACCGAAGTACACTGCTGAGGGAGCAGCGGGCGGCAGGAGAGGTCTGCGCGCCATGTGGGACCCTCCTCTGGTGGCCGGGGAGCAGCCGGGGATCGAACCGGCGCTGCAGAGGCTGCGGGCAGCTTCGCAACCCAGCGCTCAACCGCTGCGCCACCGGGGAGGCCTCACCCATGTCTCTTTCAAGTGTCTCTTTTCACGTCACCAAGTCCCTGGCTCTGTCCAAGGCCAAGAAGCAAGCACGGCTTCACATGTCTTTCCTCCAGCTTTCTTTCTCCATCTCTCTCTGCTTCTTCTCTTTCCTCCAGCCCTTTCCCCAGTCATTTCTAGTTTACCACCTTGCCCAGCTCCGCCCTTCCTTAGGGTGGGGCAGAGAACCTGGAATCTTCCCTTTCCCTGGGGATTACACTATTACAACACCCCAGCTCCCAAACCTGTGCAGACCCCTAGCTCAGGCTCTTCGGAGAGTCTCTTTCACATCCAGAGAGGCCACCCCCGCCCCAGAACTTTCCTTGCTCTTTCACTAAGCAATAAATGCTGAGTCTTTGCCTGCCCTCACCAATGTCTGTGAGATCCACTTTTCAGTCTTGACCACAGAGTCTCAAATGGCCCCTAAGTCCATCCCTCTGATTTCCAGTGGGTGGAGCAGTAGACAGTGACTGGTTTGCCAGCCTGTGTTGTTGGAGGACGAGATCGGAACTAGGGGCCCTGGGCCTGCTCCCTTGTCTGGTGACACTATTAATTTTTCTGATTATAAAAGTAACACTCAAAGTAAAAAAATGTAGAAAATACATAAAAACATAAAGAAAAAAACCCATAAACCCACCCCCTAGAAATAAACATTGCCAATAAGTTGGGGTTCCGCTCCTTTTTTTCCCCCTGTGTATATACATTCACACACTTAAAAATACAGTTTGGATCCAATAATATGACTTTTTGGTAACAGCTTTATCAAGATAATTCATGTTTTCCAATTCACCCATGTAAGATGGTGTACAAATCGATGTCGTTTAGTATAGTCAGAGTTGGGTAACCATCATCACAACCAATTTTAAAACATTTTTATGATCTCACAAAGAAATCCGTATCTTCCAGTTGTCAACCCTCCAACCCCCAAGGTTGCCTTGGGCAACCTCTACTGTACTTTCTGTCGCTGCAGATTTTTCCTGGTTTGGACATTTCATACCCATGGAATGATCCAGAAGATGGTCTTTGTGACTGACTTCTTTCACTCACATACATAATGTTTCCAAAGTTTATCCATGTTGTGTCACCTGCCATCCCTTCCTTTTTCTTTTACATAACTTTATTGACTTGCGGTTCACATACCTTACAATTCACCTATTTAAAGCATACAATTCAATTTTTAGCATATTTACAGAGTTGTGCAACTATTACCATAATCAAATTAGAAGATTCATCACTCCAAATGTCACTACCTTTTATTGCAAAATAATATTTCATTATATGGGTATACCATATTTTTTTTATCCACAGATCAGGTGGTGGGCAATTTCACCTTGTGGATATTATGAAAAATACTGCTATGAACATTTGTGAAGAAGTTTTTGTGTGGACCAAATATTTTCGTTTCCATAGGAATGGAATTGCTGGGCCATAGGGTAACCCTATGTTTAAGCCTTTGAAGATTTCCAGACAAACCATGCGAGACTTTTATCCTGACTTTCTCACTTAGCATTAATCGTGTACGTTTTCATAAATTGTTAAATGTCATTTGAACATTTAGTAACATTAGTAAAAACATGCTGGGGTTTTACTATTTCCAGAGTTCCACCTCTTAGCTAGCCAATCCCCTATTATTGGACATTTAGACCATTTCCAGTTTCCATGGTTGTAAACAGCATTTCAATGAACATCTTTGGGCACTAATCCTTGTATCCATCTCTAGTTATTTCTTAGATGAGATTAATCAGACCATTGGAACAGAGGGCACCGGCAGTTTAGCGTGCATAATAATAAATTGCCTTCCCAAAAAGTTGTGTCAGCATGCATTCTGTACGTTGAATTTGGGCATATCAGTTGCATACCTCCTTACATTTCAATTGCCTTCCAAGGTAGAGCACCAGGGAAAAAGGTTGTTTGGGCACCTTTGACACACTGCCCAGCACAATTTGCAGCACATAATATGAGTCTGTGTTGAGTGAAGGTAAAGGAAGGTCCCAATTAGTGCAGGGGCCACAGGGTATCAAGTCACGGTGAAGGTTGGCTCCACAGGACTTACCACCTGGTTGACAGGAGACTCAATTCAGACTCAAGGGGCAATAAGGCATCTGAACGGCCAGAATCCTCAGCATGAGAGCTGAAGTGACTGATGGGAGATGAGGAAGCCATACTCCGTAGTCATTTAGGGTCAGACACTGGCAGCAACTCTTTTTTGTATTCCACTCTATGAGCAGCAGTCTTTATGCAAAGTGCTGGGAGAATTACCTTCGTGGAACTAGCAAGGTCATCAAACTCTCTGTTCACGTGGATATTCTGAGGAGAAACCCAGCACAAAGCAATGCGTTATCCCTTTCTGAGAACTTGACGTGTTTTACCTACAGCACACAAGAGCTCGAAGACCTTAAGGTGACTTCTTTCCTGTGGATGACAATCTCATTATTCCCCAAGTCATTCAAATGGAGAAGGAAAGGGACTCAAGGGGGACTTGGAGGGTCCTGTTCTATTTCTTGATCGGGGGGTTGGTTATGTACGTTACATGCTGCTGGCAGAAATTCACTGAACTCTACTCAATCTATCTGCTCTTTTTTGGCATAGATATTTCTCAATAAAAATCAAAAATAAAGGCTTGGGGATAAAGACCTAGTACTCATTGAGTCTTCCTCTGCACAGGCCTGACCCCGAGTGGTAGGTATTAGCCTTGTTTCACATAAAGACAAGACTGAGTCCCGGGAATAATTTCGCATCAAGTGTAAGGATTCAGAAGTATTTCCCTAAAAACTGAGGATAAAATCTGTGAGCATCAGATTAGACTAATGACAGCAGTGAAGGAATAAGTAAACAGAAAATTGCATCTTGCCTAGTGTTGATCTCTAATCAGAATCCCATGCTGACTAGAATTTGGACCCAGGCCTGTCTCATTCCAAACTCTGTGGTGTTCTCATTACACTAAGTTTCTGATGATAACCATACGTTGTATTGAATAAGTATGTCTTTTGGCAGGACAATCTCATATGTGTAGAGTAAATGGAAGCGATCAGGGTTTTTCCGCCCTCCCGCCACTAGCATCGATGAGCGACAACTGTGGTCTTACACGCACGCCTGAAGGCAGACCCTCGAGCGTGGTGTGCGCACGCATGAGTGGGCACATCTGAGCCTGGGGCCTGAGCATATAAGGGCGGCAGCAGAGGCAAAGGCGGCAGAGAACTGTGCAGTGGAGTACAGCAGAGACCAGCGGACAGACCACAAGAGAACACCAGAGAGCCCAGAAAGAGCGAAGATTCGCCGGGGCGAGGAAGTCAGCCAGCCTTCTGGCCCCCAGGCCTCCCTGCCAGCCCTGCACCTGTTGCCTCACTACAGATGGGGTAGAAAGATTATTAAAAGCCTGAAAAAGCCATCGAGGGCTCCAGGACTCCTCCTTTACCTGTCTGCCTGTATCATCCAAAACCTGCTCTGTGCTTTGCTGGCATTACGATATGCCATTCCATTTCTTGTTTTTTAAGAATGTTCGAATTCAGGGCCTCCCTGGTGGTGCAGCGGGCTGAGCGCAGTGCTGTGAAGCTGTCCGCAGCCTCTGCAGTGCGGGTTCGATGTCGGCCGGCCAGGGAGAAACCCACATGGCGCGGCAGACCTCTCCTGTCTTATCCGCTTCTCCCCTCAGCAGAGTGTTTCAGTCAGTCTGCCTGTTCTGCTCCCCACTCTGTCTCTGGTGAATCCTCTCACCCTCCTGCACCTCTGGCCTGTACCCCGGTTCTTGTATAAATAAGTGTAGAATAAGGTAAAAAGTTTCAGGCTTTTCTGCCCTCCCGCTAGTAGGATAGATGACGGAACCCTGTGGTCCCGAATGCATGCCTGATGGCGGGCACCTGGAATAGGGTGTGGGCAGATGTAGATGGGATTCGCCTGGGCTAAGACTGGGCTTTTAAGGGCGGTGTCACAGGGATGCCAGCAAGAAGCAGAGAAGCCGAGAAAGAAGCAGAGAAGCAGAAGCAGAAGAACCACGAGAACAAGGCCACCAGAGAACGCCGGAGAGCCCAGATAGAGTGAGCACTTGCTGGGGGCAGGGCCCCCAGTGCCCCTGCCTGCCGTGTACCTGGTAATCCCAATAAAAGCCTGCAAAAGCCACTGAGGGCTCCAGGACTCTTTCCTTCTTTACCCCATCTGCATGGGATCATAGAAAACCTGCTCCGTGGCCATTCCTGCCCCTACAATTGGGGTAGTCAGCAGTATGATCCATGCAGATGGGTATGGAGACCTGTGAAGACCTCAGAAGGGACCTCTGGAGCAGACTGAGAGCCTGTGACAATGCTGGAGGCGTCGTGGTGGCACAGGAGATGGACAAGGTCCGGTAACTACAGATGGACAAGGTCCGAGACCTCGCATGAAGGAGATGGCCCAAGAGGACCAGCCAAAGACCCCTGAGGCAGCAGAATCATCGGGGAAAGAAAGGACCAGAATTTGGAGCTCCCCAGTGCTGATGCAGGGAGAGGCCTGATGGACTTGGACTAATGGAGTTGGACTGACAATCCCGCCAGAAGGCAGAGGACCTTGCAGGTTGATATGTTTTGGGACCCTGGGGGTGGAACAGTTTCATTTGTAAACCCCAGGAGATGGGAATCTGGGGGTGGCCAGTAGGCCTTGATGGCCAAAAGCAGGCCTGTGTACTGCCCAGCAGCGAGACAGAGGAGAAAAGCCAACTGGGAAGGCAAAAACTGGTACTGATGCTAAGTTTGGGAAGCCCTGAGAGGCTGTTAAGCACTAAGTAAGCTGAGGAAGGCCAGTGAGTCTCGTAAAATCACCTGTGGGTGATGCCCTGCTCGTTCTTGAGTGAGGGTGAGGAGCTGAGGAACCCGTCCTTAGGGGACAGGTGGGGAATGTGGCTTGGGATGGAGCCCAAGCCAAAGAGGGGGGACCCAAGAGAGGCCGCATGTGGAGTGTGGATCCCCGACCCATGTGCTTGTGCAGCGGGTTGGCCTGAGTGCAGGGGTCTGCGTGTTGCATGGGTGGCTATGAAAGCCAAATGTTGGAGCAACCACAGACAGAAACCCTGAGGGTTGGCGTTTACCCCCAACAGTACACAATCGCCAATCCCAGAGCTAGTGCATCCTGGGGGTGGATGCGGTGTGTGGCTTGTGGCCGAGACCACAGCCAGAGAAGGACAGGAAACCTGACGGCTCCTGATGTGTTACGGCAGATGCTGTGAGTGGTTCCCCTCCCTCGTATGAATAGTGCCTTTGGCAGCAGAAGTGGTGGATCATCTGCTGGTGCCAATAATTATCTTTTGCATGTTGGTGCCCTGCCTGGACTTACTTGTGTTCTGTTGTATTTTGTTATATATTTCATTTGCTTTTGTGGGTCATGGCTGCAGTGTTCTATTGCCAAGAGAAACGTATATGACTTGTTGTGAAGGGCAGGAACGGACACAGTGCAGGTTTTCTGATCCAGCAGTCTGGGTAAAGGAGAAGTCCTGGAGCCCTCAGTGGCTTTTGCAGGCTTTTATTGGGATTTACCAGGCACACCACAGGCAGGGGTGCCAGGGGGCCGGGAGGCTGGCAGGCAGCAAGTCCTCACTCTCTCTGGGCTCTCCAGCGTTCTCTCGTGGCCATTTATTCTCTCGTGGTTCTCTGCTTTCGTTCCTGCTTCGCTGCTTCTTCTGGCATCCCTGTGACACCACCCGTAAAAGCCCAGTCTTAGCCCAGGTGAATTCCATCTACATATGCCCACACTATTCCAGGTGCCCGCCATCAGGCATGCATTCGGGACTGCAGGGTTCAGTATTCTATCCTAGTGGAGGGAGGGCAGAAAAGCCTGATACTTTTACCTTAGCCTACACTTGTATAGACTGTCTGTCAAAAACCCTGGGGGGTGGACTGTAGGGTAAGGTAAAAAGTATCAGGCTTTTCTGCCCTCCCGCCATCAGGATAGATGACGGATCCTTGTAGTCTTGAATGCATGCCTGATGGCGGGCCCCTGGAGTAGGGTGTGGACATAGGTAGATGGGATTCACCTGGGCTAAGACTGGGCTTTTAAGGGCAGGGTCACAGGGACGCCAGCAAGAAGCAGAGAAGCAGAAGCAGAAGCACCACGAGAACAAGGCCACCAGAGAACGCCAGAGAGCCCAGATAGAGTGAGCACTTGCTGGGGGCAGGGAGGCCTGTCAGCCTCCCGGCCCCCCAGTGCCCCTGCCTGCCGTGTACCTGGTAATCCCAATAAAAGCCTGCAAAAGCCACTGAGGGCTCCAGGACTCTTTCCTCCATCACCCCATCTGCACGGAATCATAGAAAACCTGCTCCATGGCCATTCCTGCCTGTAGGGTAAAGAAAATGTCAGGCTTTTCTGCCCTTCCGCCATCAGGATAGATAATGGATCCTTGTCCTGAATGCATGCCTGATGGCGGGCACCTGGAATAGGGTGTGGGCATAGGTAGATGGGATTCACCTGGGCTAAGACTGTGCTTTTAAGGGCGGCGTCACAGGGACGCCAGTAGAAGCCAAGAAGCTGAGAAAGAAGCCGAAGCCGAAAGAGAAGCCGAGAAGCAGCCGAACGAACTCCAGAGAGCTCAGATAGAGTGAAGACTTGCTGGGGGCTGGGAGGCCTGCCAGCACCCCTTCCTGCCATATGCCTGGTGAACCCCAATAAAAGACCTGCAAAAAACCACTGAGGACTCTGACTCCTCCTTTACCCGGTCTGCATGGGATCAGAAAACCTGCACCGTGTCCAGTCCTGCCCTTTACACTGCCCCTATAGTAAGTAAATCTTTTTTTGAAAAAGAATATTCAAATTCAGTGCCGACAGGAATTCTTAAAGCAGAAGGAAACTGGTCAAGGGCACAAGTCTCTGGCTTTGGAGTTGTAGAGACTAGGCAGATGGAAGGACACAGTAAGGATGCTACACATCAATTGTTTTAGACCTGAGGGATCAGAACTATAAAAACACATCTCTGGAAAGACACAAATCTGGGTTGAAATAAAGCAGGGTTAGAATAATTGGTATCTTTCTTTTAATAATTTGCATCTGGGGATTCTCTTCAAGTTTAACTGCCTTGGAAAAATGTCAGGGTCCCTCCCCAAACCCCCCCCCTCCCCCGTTAAGAAGGTGGAACTGAATGAAAAGGGAACCTAACCTCCTTCGGCCACACAAGCAGATTTTCCAGCCCCATGAACCACCTGCAGGCAGTAAGGCCAGGTTGGGAGGCGGATCACTTTACAAGGGCTGAACCCGCAAATCTAAACTCCAGCAAGCAGTGAGCATCATGCTGCTGAGCCTCTCTCTCTCTCTCTCTCTCTCTCTCTCTCTCCTCTCTCTCTCCCCTCTCTCCCCTCTCTCCCCTCTCTCCCCTCTCTCCCCTCTCTCCCCTCTCTCCCCTCTCTCCCCTCTCTCCTCTCTCTCTCTCTCTCCTCTCTCTCTCTCCTCTCTCTGTTAAAGGAGAAGCCAGGGGTGCCTGCGGAGTAGATCACAGAAGTACCCCCATCCGGGGTGCATAATGGAGCCAGAGTGGTATAATGACCTACATTCAGGCCTGGGGCTAGAATTTGGACTTGACCACACTATGTATCTGGGCAGGGACCTCTGTTTCTCTAATCCCCACTTGCTTCCTTTAAACAGAAATAACACCTCACAGGACTATTCAACAAGAGGTACAGTTTGTGAGAAGCTCTTACAGAGAAATCCAGCAGTTCTATGGCAGATGCTGAATTATCCTGGACAGACTTGAGAACAGCAAAGCAGCCTTCACTTTGCATAGGATTCCTCGACACCTAAGAAACACAGACACAAACACACGCAACACTAAGAGAAGCTGAGCCTGGGGAGTAAGACAGTAATGCGAAAGAGAAGGCAGGTATCTGATGACATGGCTCAGGTTGGCCCCGCTGTCTCAGCTCAGAAGGTGTCTCCCTCAAACAGGAGGAGGAGGAGGGAGTGAATGCTGGCTGAGGACCCACCCAGTGCTGACTGTGAGCTGGTGCCGACAATACAGACAAGACACGCCCCAACCCTGAAAGAACTCACCTGTTGGAGGGAGAGGGGGGAAAGGAAACATCATACACATGCAGTGTGATCAGTGCAATGAGATAGTGCCCCCAAGCTCTACCTGGGAGGTAAAGTTTGAGGGGGCAGAATAAAACACCTGAGTGGAAGTTTACAGCTGAGGTGGGAAAGAGCAGCAGGAACACAGCAGAGGGGAGATGAAGCCCTGTGTGCGCAGAGAGTTCTGAGCAGCTCGGGGAGCGAGAGCCATTATGTGCTGCCAGTAGGAGGGAAGGAGGCAGAGCTCAGATTTAGTGAAAGTTCAGCTTAGTGAAAAGAGTTTAGTGAAAGATGCACTACTATGCTTGAATTTATCCTGAAGGGAACCACACTGAAGGGCTTAAAGCAGGGAGGCACAGGGTCAAGTTTCTGGTTTAGAAAAATCGCCTGGTAGCAGGTGGGAAGGAAGTGTTGGAAACTGACAGGCAACAGAATTCTAGGAGGGGAAGTGCAAAGCAGGAGGAGCAGGCTGCCCGAGCATTCTGCAGGAGAAGAGAGCTAAGGAAGGGTAAGTGTGGGAAAGAGGGACAAGCACTGGGCCCCAGCTTGTGATTCCATGAGAAGTACCCCTCCACCCTCCCTCCAGCCGCCCAGCCTGACTAGGCAGCTCTTAGAGGCTTTACTCTCAGAATCCAGCTGGCCAACAGGAGATCCGAGGCACCATACAGCAGGTGGAAACGTGGATCCAGAGCTCAGAAGAGGTCTATGTTCCAGCGGGGTTGAAGGTGGAGGAGGGGGTAACCAGGTGAACCACAGGCTGGGGTTGAGGGCGCTGCGGGGGCTGCTCTGTCAGCTGAAGGAGCTGAAGGCCAGGCAGGGCTGGATAGCCCCTGGAACTGATGAGTGTCCCCAGTCACATGCTCCACCCTTGATTGCATCTTCCCTTCTCTGTCTTAAGCTCCCAGCCCTCTCCGCACTCCCTCTCCATTGACAAGAGAGCCCCTGCTGTGCGCCCAAGACCTTGGGTAGGTCTGAGCAGGGGACTCAGTCTGACACCTAGGCTCACACGCTGACTTCCAGCAAGGCCAGAGGAAGCTCAGGGAAGAAGACAAAGGGGAAGCAAGAGTGCTCCTCACCATCAGCAGCAGAGCAACACTGCAGGGAGCTGAGAAGGAGGGATGGCAGGAAGGGTGGGATGCCATGCCACTAGGACGGAAGGATGAAGTGAGGAGGAATCTGAAGAAGTGAGACTCTGGCCCAGGCCAGAAATGAGTGAGGGGTTGAAAAGGGGAAGTCGTGGCCCCAAAGGAAGCCAGGAGGTTTCCTTTCTGAGACCCTCATCTAGGTTCTGGAATATGTACCTCCCACTGCTGTTGTGCTAGGGAGATATGCATGGCTAGGTACAGGCTTGAGCCTCCCCTCCCCCCAATCAGGCTAACACTCACAACAAGGATCCTTAGTGTCTGGTTGACCCGGAGGCCCAGGCCCAGCCTCAGGGCGCCCGTTGCAGAGATGCGGTTATTGCTGCAACAAAAAGACATGTGCGTTGCGCTAGCTTGCAAACAGCTGTGCAGAGCCAGACCACTTCAAGGTCACAGCTGGAGCTGCTGGCTCAGGCACCTGGTCAGGCTTCACATTCCATCTTCACAGATACCCTGGACCCTGGAGAGGTTAGGTGTAAATGGTGGATAACGAGCATGTTTCATTGGCAGCTCCCAGTGTTGAGGGAGATCACCCAGCCAGCATCTCCAGAGCACCCATCACCCCTGGTGGAGACAGCCGCCCTCAGAACTCAGCAGCTCCCATGTGTCTGCCCCACCTTGTGCCCATATCGATGACCATAACAGTGTCTGTTCTGGAAAACTACCCAAACTCCTCCCCACATCTGCTCTTCTTCTTCCCACTTTGTACCTTGGATCTAAACTCCAGTCCTCATCCCTGCTCTTGGCCACGTCTCCCGAGCCAGTCCCACATCTCTGATTTCTCAGACCCCAACACTGGACTTGCCTCTCAGCATCTTTCAGTGCCTCTTCTGGCCTTTTCCCTTCCATGGGAAGGAAGGTGGGCAAGATTGCAGTGGGCAGGCCCTGCTCACTCTAGTAGCCCCCAAGGAGGGGCTCGGCCACAACAGCTCATCGCCTGACTGATGTCTGCCATTTTTTCCTCTCTGGGCTTATGGTCCCTGCTCTGGTTTTCTGCTGAGGCTGGCACTGTGCTGGGGGCCGCAGGAGAGCTTGGCATGCCGGCAATAGTCATGTGCTGAGCAGAGCGTAAGTAAGGGCCCGCTTGTCAAGGCCCTGCCCAGCCCCACTCACACTCTGCTCCTCCTCTGAAAGGGAAGAACACACACAGAGCACCCAGTCACACCCACAGGCTCTGCTGAAGATGCCTCACTTCACACCAACTACCTGTGTGCTAGGAACCATGAGCCCCAACATGGAAATGATGAACTCAAGGAAGGACAGACCTGGGTGATCCTTGTGGCCCAAGCTGCATCATGAGTAGATGGTGGTAGGTTAGAGAATTTAAATGGCGAGAGACCAGAAAGATTACCATGGAGACCCTGTCTACAGAGTCTGGGGACAGTGACACTGACATGGGCAGCACCCTATGCTCTCACCTCATGCTGAGTTCCTCCAGCACATTGTTGGTCGCAAGTGCCTCACCCACGGCAGAGGCTCCAGGGTCTCCAAAGCCATTGTGAGAGATGTCCAGCACTTTCAGGAAGATGTTTGCCTGGAGCACAAAAAGAGCAACCCCATGGGGTCCCATGCAATGGTGGAGAAAGCCAGGAGCCAGTCGCAGGACCCAAGAGACCCGAGGTATAAAGATCACAGGCCGCGTATGGACAGGCAGAGTTTCCTGGGAAGTCATGTGACTTGGGTGGTGGTGACCGATAGAGTCCAAAGGCCAGAAACACAGTGCGGAAGGTGGATGTGGATGTGAATGACCTTCAGAGACTACGGGTTGGCCATGTGGCAGCAGCTGCCGGAGAAACAGTGCTCATATCTGCTTGGGCACCCCTCAGGGACAAGCGCCCCCAGGCACAGAGCAGCCCAGGAACCCAGAGGAGGCTCCAGTGAAGGCTGTTGGCTAAAGCTTATCCAGGGATTTGTGACGGGAGGAAGGAGGAGAGCTTGTGAGTACACGGGATGATAGCCTGACATGTCTTCTTGTGGGGAAGCCCTCAGGTCACCCCGTCAGGGGGCAAGGCAGCAACATCCATTCCCTGAGAAGGACTTGACAAAGGTGGTTGGCACTTGGGGCACTGCAGGTACCTTGTGCCATCCTGGCAGGTTCTTGAACCGCCCATCTACTGTGAACCTCACAGGGAGCGGGTGAGGTGTTTGAGAGCGTGTGCTGGGATCCAAGGGTGCAAGGGAGTCATCTTAGGGAACATGGATACATGCCCAGCAGTGACAATGTGTCTCCTCACTGCCTGATGCTCCCCACCAGCAGAATGTCTGGAGAAGGTGCACATGAGCTTGACCCCTTCAGTGAGTGCCCTGAGAGTGTGCACAAGTAGGTCATAGTCATTAAATGGGAGCCAGGAAAATTAGTCACCTAAAGCAATAATCTTTAAGCTTTGCTTCAAGATGAAAGGTTTGTTTCTGAAGAGTTCCAAAGGCAGGGGAGCTGGGACCCAGAGACAAGCCGAAGGAGATGACAGGGTGAGTTGGGGGCCTCTTACCTCCAAACCCTTGGCAAAGGCTACGGCTCCTGGGCCTCGAAGGTGATTCCAGCTTATGTTAAGCTGGGTGAGTCCTGTGTTTTCTGCCAGGGCCGGACCAAGTATCTCCCCTTCAGAAACACCAAGAGAGACCTCCTTACTCACTCAGTTCATTCCTTCAAAACATGATACGGATGCCCGCTGTGTACCAGGGTCTCCTCTGGGCATGAGGATCACAGAGTGGACCTGCACATAGCTCCAGCCTGCCTTCAAGGAATTCACACGGAGTGGAGAAGGTACAAATACAAATTAATGGGATGGGGGTATTATAAACTACAAACCTTGGTGATGCAAGGGGTTAAGTCTCGGCACTATCAAGTTATCACCAGCCACTGAGGCATGAATTCGATCCCCTCAGCAGTGTATTCCAGTAGGTCCACCTGTTCTGCTCCCCACTCTGTCTCTGGTGAATCCTCTTACCCCCACACCTCTGGCCTACACCCCCGTTCTTATATGCATAAATAAATAAAAATAAGCCTTAAAAACAACATCAAAACAAAAACGACAAACAAGGATGAATGGAAGAGAGTGGAGCTAAGCTTGCCTGGGGGCAGGGGGCAGGACAGTGAGGACAGAAGAGAGGAGCTTGGACACCGAGGGAGTCACCACACGTACACACATGCACAGAGGCCAGCAGACACAGGACAGGATTACACGCAGAGCCTCAGGGAGCATGTGCAGGCCTTCAGCTGGGGGTGAGCTGGGGGAAAGATAGCAAAATGAGGTAGGAGCGACGGGCACTTGAGAGAGACTGAGAGACCTTGGATGCCAGGCCAAGGATCTTGGGCACCACTGTATAGGTGGTGAGGAGGCAGGGAGGGCTTTAGAGTAGAGGTTGGGTTCCTTAGCAGAGGATGTAGGGGGTGGACTTGGGTGAGCAGGGGCAGAGATGAGAGTCTGGGGTGGTGCGGGGCCTAGGGGAACAGGAGCAGCTGTGGAGGAGTGAGGCAAGTTTCAGAGAAAAGAAAGGGAAGGCCATGTGGGGTAAGAAACCCTGAGAGATATTTAGCATGCGAAATGGGCAGAAGTCCCACCTACCACCCTGCTCCCCACTGTCAGCCCTCAGCACCAGCTCCAGCGTGCCTCTCAGCTGTCACCCTGTGTGGGCCTGTTGACCCCCCCTTCACCTGGTGAATAGCTCCTCAGCCTGGGTTCCTGCCATCAGGAAGCCTTGCCTGCTCATGTGGCCCGAGTCCACTGGCTTCCCTCCTTCCAAGCCCTAGCTGTTAGATTTCTCTCCCATCAGCCTGGATGGGATGCCCCTCAAGGATTTGAATTTGACTCCTCTGCATAGTCCCATCCCTGAGCATGGTCCAGGAAGGCTGGTGGGAAGAAATGCACAGAGGGAAAACAGCTGCTAATTGAGCAGAGCATTCAGTCTGCTCCTCCTGGATGAGGCCCCCAGGCATTTTTAGCACCATGGCGAGCTCTCTGCAGGCGGTGGGGATGGGGGCATAGGGGCCCCTTGTGCTGCCTCCCTGAGACCAGGACCCAGCACTGGGTCTGACACCCTCGGGTTCTCAAATGTGGGTGATTTCCTCCTTCCTTAGACATTTTCAGGCCTGGGAGGAGCAGTGGTGCCCTCCACTTCGTAGTGCAGCCCTTTCCTGCTGAACAGCTAGAGGGTAAGAAGGATCTTCTAATTCTAATGCTTGGTCTTAGTGACTGCTGTAGTCAGTCGAAGAGGCAGGGGCTACCACAGTCGTTCTGCAGGTGGGGAGACTGAGACCCAAGCTCCTTCACCCCTTAAGGGAGTCAAGCTCCCCACCACGGATCCCAAGGGAAAACAGAAGCGCTCCCTGAGTCAGCGTTGGAGACCCAGCCCTGACCCCATATCTGTGAGCCTTTACAGGGTTTTAGCTTCCAGTCCCTTCCATGCTGGCTGCCTCTCTGTCACTCATCCTCTGACCATGCTGGCCCAGAGAGTCTGAAACGATTTTCTCTTTTAATTTTACTGGTTCCCCACAGTGATTTTCATAAGAATGCACTCCTGGCAGTTAGGTTCCACGACTGACTCTCACAGGCTGCCACCTCATTGCTCTCAGCAGTCTGAGACAGAGCAGTGCTTCCCAAACATTCTGAACCAGACAAATCTCCTGGGGCACCCCTATAAAATATAGTGCACAGCAGCCACTCAAGAGTCTGGTTCAATGGGTCTGGGGATGCAGGAATCTGTATTCCTAACCCAAGGCCCCAGATTCTTCTTGTAATTGATTGGTTGAAGACAGAGAGATATGACTGCATGTTCCTGGCAAAGCAGATGGCCTGTGCAAAAGGTATGAAAAAAAAAAGTGATCAGCTCTAGCAATCCCACTGGTGTCTTCCACTTAGAACAAAATCTTCCATGTAAATTGTAAAGAAAAGAAAACCCAACAGCACAGGCATGCATGTAAACTGGAAAAAAAAAAGAAGAAATCTTCATGCCTGGTGTCATGAGTGGTAGCGCTGCAGCTCCCCGCTCTCTCCACCCTTCAGCCTGGCCTCTCTCCCCTGGCTCATGAGCTCAGCCGCACTGGGTCTGCCAGTCTGGGAACAGGTCTGCATGCTCTCTGTCCACTTGAAATATTCTTCCTCTGTCTCGCAGCTGATTTCCTCCCACCCAGGCCATTTCAGCTTAAATGTTCACCTCACAGAATCTTCCCCACGCACCCCTCTCCAGCGTGGGGTCCCCATTCTTCTCTAGAATGACACCCTTTTTGTTTCTTTTGTGACAGCAGAATTTTCATGGTTGGGCCCTCAAATCAGCACCCAGCACAGGCAGAGGAGGACAATGAAATATCCCTGGGAAGAATCGAGTTGTGTGTGGAAGGAGAGGGAGGGGGGCAGGCCTGCGTGGAGTGTGTGGGTGAAGGCTGAAGCAGGGCTGCTCAGCATGTCCCTTTCAGCACCACCCTGTCTGAGGAGCGCCCCATGCGGCCTTGGCTGGATGGTACCTGCTTGGTCATTCAGTTGGTTGTAACTCAGGTCCAGGGATTTCAGGCTTGTATGGGCAAGCAGAAGTTCAGCAAGGTGCTGGGCTGCCTGCTCCTCCAGGTGGTTCCCTGCCAGCTGCACCTTCTGTACAACTTGGTTCACCGTGAGGGAGGCACAGAGGGCTTGGGCTGCCACTGCTCCCAGCAGGTTCTCCGACAGGTCCACATCTGGGGACCAGCACAACCCCTCAGCCAGACAGCTCCACAGTCAGGTCCACCTCCTCCACCTCACCCCATCCTCCAAGCTTCCAGGCCTGAGGAGCTTTACAGTCAGATTGTTCTGGATTTACATGGAGACTCTGCCACCTTTGGGGACCAGGCAGCTCCCCGCTTATGTGTCCAGGAGTGTCATTGTCAAGGGGCTAAAACCTCCAAGTCTGCAGTCCTGGGAAGAATGCCTGTGGTGGAGTCACATCAGCAGCCACCTTGCAAATGATCTGTGCCCAAGAGCAATACACCCCACCCACAGAAGCCCTGGAAGCTGCATTTCTGCGCGCTGGCAATTACAGCCCAGGTGGCCATGCACTCACATGCCTCAGACTCTCTGCTGAGCATGTTATGATCACCACAGCCTCAAGGGTGGGCGGGAATTATTGGGGCCATTTCACAGATTGAAAATTGAGTCTCAGTGAGTTTGAGCTGCTTTCCTCGCGTCATCCAGATCTTTGTGGCAGAGGCAGCATTTGGATCCAGCCCCACCATACTCCCACGCCACCCTCCCTCTTTTCACACCTCCCAGGCCCTGCCTCTCTGTGTCACAGGACCCTCCCCCCCCCGCCCCCCCCCCACCTTCAGTCACTGAGAGGCCACCAAATGCAGGGGGAGGAGGGGTGCTGGCCAGCAGAGGAGAGTGAATGGGGTGGGGTGGTTGGAAAGAGTGATGCCCAGTTGTGTGCGCACCTCCACCTGCCCCACCCTGAAATGAGGCCTCAGCAATACCAGCAGCCCCCATGTGAGAGGGCCCAGTTGGGGGAGCGCACATCCCTCAGCAAAGGAAGGACTCCAATCTGCCCACCTGCCTCAGGCTGAGCACCTACCACAGATGCTGCTGTTTTTGCTCACGGCACGTGCCAGGATTTCCACATCAGCCCCACGGAGCCCACTGTCCCGAAGGTCCAGCCGCCTTACATGGGGATTAGAGATCAGCGCAGAAGCCAGAGCCTGTGCCCCCTGGAGAGAGGAGAACAATGGGAGGGGCCTGTTCCTTTCCAGGACTAAAGGCCCCAGACACAGCCGGTTACTACCTGGCTGGCATTCCCAGGGGTCAGCCTACTCGTTGCCCCCAGCTGGAAGGCCTTCCCCTTCCCACATGCTCAGGGGGTACCTGCTCCTCTCTCTAGGCTACTCCTACACCTCACCTCCAGGAGCCCTCCCTGACCCCTTTCCAATGGGTTAGGGGCCCCCTGCAGACTCCCAAGCCAGTATACTGCTCTGGGTCATAGAGCAGTGTACTGCTCTGGGCCCATCTGTCACCCAGATGTGGGGGATGCGACATGCCTGGCACACAGCGGGGCAGGGGAGTGTATAGGATGGGTTCAGAAGGGCCACACCCTTAGTTGTTGCCCCAGGTCCTCCCTTCCGAATGTGGCACCAGGGTCCCTCCAAGGGTACCTGAGGCCCCAGGCCACGGTGTCGCAGGCTCAGCTCTGGGGAGCTCCCTTGGCGCAGAAAGCAGGGGGCAGGCCCAGCACCGCGGGCCCAGCAAGACCCCGAGTAGTGGGGAGCCTCAGCCATCTCTCCAAGTCCACGGGTGTCTGAAAGTCACAGGGACAAATGTGGATCCTTCTGCAGGCACAGCCACGGCCTCCTCCCTCCTGTCAGGTGCTTCCCCTCTTGAGGCATTTCTTTTCCTGTGCTGAGGACTTTGAGTCTCAAAGAAAGTAAATCCTCTCACCACTGGGAGAAGCTAACCCTGGCAGAGCCAGTCTGTCCGATGCCAAAGTCATTCTGTGTCTTTCTGCGGGAGCGCAGCCCACCTGTGTTTTGGGGCCTTCTCATGGGGGAGGGGGAGGGGTAACTGAAACAGCTCGAAGCTCAAGACACCCCTCAGCTTAGTTTGTCCTATGTGCTGGGGAAACTCCACCTGACTTCACTTCAGAAGGGGCCTCCTTTGGCACTGGTGGGCTTGTTTGCACGTTAACCTCATCCTGGAAGGGTATTCTAATAGCAGAAGTCCCGATGACGCCAGGAACCAGGAGGCTGAGGGGCTGCGTTCTGCCCTGGTGGGCACGTAGGGCTAAGCTTCCTGATGGACAGCGGTTCCCTGACACCTGGGCCCCAGATTGTTCCCTCTAGCCAGGGAGGGAAGCTCTCAAGGTGAGGAGACTGGCCTGACACTGATCCTTATGGCTCCGCCTGTCTGGGGGCACCTTCAGTCTCCAGGTCGGAATCTGAATCTGCCTTGTCCTCCGTGACCCCTGCAGGATGCCCAGCGACTGTAGCAGCCTCTTCCTCCTGCGCTTCTTCTTCTCCAGGCGTCTTGCTGGGCCCCCTCATGGTTACCTCTCTGTGGCAGTCTGAGCATGGAGACTGGCCCTGCGGGGGCCGCCCCTAAAGTGCGCCAAGAATGCAGGCAGACACTGGGCTGCGTCAACCAACCCAAGTGGCCTGCAGGGAACAGGCTCTGGAGGCAGCCAATAGAGACGCAGTCCCGGTCGCAGAGGCCCTGGTAACCGGTGTTGTTGGTTGCTGCAGAAATGGCCAGCACTTTTGACTCTGCGCTTGGGGGTGGGGTGGAAGTGGGGAAAACTCAGGAGATCCTGGGGAGTCTTGCAGAGCGGGACCACCCTCCCCTCTGGAACCAGTCACTCCCGGGATGCAGGTTCCTTTTCAGGCTCCAGCCCTTGCATATGCTGCTTCCTCCAGTAGGAAAATCCCTCTTCAGAGCTGCACGTAGAAACTTCAGATTCTGCAAGTGTTAGCTTGGAGGTCACCTCTTCAGCTGAAGCTTTAGTGGCCTTTTCTCTGGGCTCCTGCTGCCCCCCCCTCCAACTGTCATCCTCTTACCCCCAAGGGAGTGAGCCAGGGGACAGGGGACAGGGGCTGCTCCTCT